ATTAGTCCGTTTGATAAACTTCGATAAATTTCACTATTGAAAAGACAAGGTCTATGTTTCACCAAAAACCCAGACAGCACGTAAGCGGTTATGTCACATCCTATTGTGTCTATCACTTTACATGTATGTACAGAAACACGTACATAGGGAGGAACAAACGTGATCTGCAATTAATAGTGGCGGAACACATATCCAAATGGCTACAAAAACAAATGAATTCCAATGGTCAAATAAATGATCACAGGATAGACAGATATCTTCTTCCATTGAGAAACATTTGGTTGAAACTGGTCATAAGGTTGATAATAAGTCAGTATTTGTAGTGTTGTATAAAAGCCTTCAAGGACGTATGTAGACTAAGATTTATTGAAGCCTAGGCTATACGGAAATTGAAACCTCCTCTATGTGTTCATAAACAATTTGTTCTTACCCTTAACCTACCCTGGTAATACTGATTTATTATCCAGAGTAGTCATCACATTGTATTTGTGTACTTTATTTATTTTCTTTCTTTGTCACGACTTATCTTAACCTGTCTAGTTGACCTTTTAATTTTCATATTAAAATGTCTTAACAAGTACATATGTGATCAGATCGTTAGAAATGTATTGCGCTAATATATCACATAGTTCTGATAAACTTCGTCTTCTCATTGCATTCTCGAAATATATTTGAGAGTTGGTTTGATCTTGAGTATGTTGATACAAGCAGCTAGCCCCTGCCTAAAAAAAGACAGTGAACTCTTGGAAAGGGTTCAGAGAACAGCAATTAAGCTGATTCTAGGAATAGCCAAGCTCCCGTATGATACTAGACTGACCAAGCTAAACCTATTCCCGCTGTCATATAGAAGAATCAGAGGCGACTTGATTACAGTTTTCAAATTGCTTAGTGATAAATTTGCACCTGATATGCCCTCATTTTTCTTGTCTCCCAAAACAGAAAATCTACGAGGACACTTCAAAAAAGTTCACAAACCCAGAACGAATCACTTGTTAGCTGACTACCGACTTTCCCATCGAATAATCAACGAGTGGAATTCATTACCTGAGCACGTGGTTGAGGCTCCATCCGTTGACTCTTTCAAAAGAAAGCTGGATCAGCTGAGAGACCAGGACTAACACAAGCCATAAAGCCTCCTGTCCCTTCCAAACTGAAACTGAATGTGCTGATGATATTATTTGAATGTACGATAGCTTAGAAATTATATAGTTGATAGTGCTCATAAATAGTATAACGAATCTCGTTGAACAAAAGTATTCAACGTTAATTACTCATATAAGCTTACATTTTTTGTTTAAGCAATTTAACTATTTTCAGTAGTCTACTTATCTGTTGTGAAAATTCAAAATCGTTACACTAAACATATGATAGTTTATTACAACTTATGAAGGAATCACTTCCCAAACTCCATGCAGAAATTCAATAATATTTACTAGAGATACTTGAGTTAAGAGTTATATTAAACAGTACAGTTGGGGACGTCTTGTTGGATGATTTAGTTGAGAATCTTTTATTATTCATCTTGAAGAATTAAAAAAAAATAAAATAAATAGATGAATAAAGTTGCTAAGGCGTCCTACAATATGACAAAACCACCATCCAGTTCTTCTAGGTTTCCCATGGTGGTCTAACTTCAATTGACTCATGATCTCAACTATTAAAATGACTATAATATCCACAAAAACCCCTTCTGATGAATAAAAGTTTGTTTGTTAAGTTATATATGGCCACAGAAAGGATAGTGGGGTTACAAATTTCTTCTGTATACATTGGGATGAATTGGGATGAAATGTACAAATTTTCTATAGCTTCAGCTATATGAAGGAGACGGGAACGAACTACGTGTTTGTTTCACACTACATCGGAAAAAGGTGACGTTCTCTTCATCTTCGCCTGCATGAGCATCAGTTAGCAGTCAAATGCCACAATATGTCTTCACTCATATCAATACACGTGGACAACTACGGACATACATTCGACTGAAAAAATGTGGACAGAGGCAATTCCTAAAACATCAAAATCTTTTTAAAAGCCTAGCGCTCAGGTCAATTAGCAATAAACAAGCACATTGAAATCAATCCACTTTATCAACCAATCAAGAAAATTATGCAGAAACATAGGAACAAAAAATCAAACCAATGCGAAATACAACCAAAATAAAGAAGTAAACAATGACAGATTTAAGGTTCACAAGAACCAATCAACATCAAAGTGTACAGGACAGGCTTTGAACCACATGTGGAGAAATTCAAATACTCTACTTCTAACTGGAGTTTGTGCTGACGATGTCGTTCAGAAGAATGATGAAAACTCCACGACCAAACCATCCAACTCAGAAAACAAAACTCCATCCAAATGATAGAGGTATACGATAGATCACTCTTTGATATACTGATTTCATAAAAAAGCATATTAGATAATCAGTAAATAAAAATAATAAAAATATATACAAGTTCTCTGTAACAATATACACAGAGTTCACATTGGATGCAGGTTCATATAAAAAAGTATATATTGACCTGAAATAATGTTACACTGCAATATACAAACTCAATGTTGTATTGAGTGTTCCAATGAGGATAAAACTTGATATCATATAATGTTACATTGAGTTAGACAAGACAATGAACTAACCTTCTTATAATGACTTATCATGTATAACTGGTTTAACTGAATTACCTATTTGTTCTTCATAGTTGAAAGCGTGAGTCAATTGAAACTAGACCACTAGGGAAAACCTGGAAGCATTGGACGGCCGTTTTTTCCTATTGTGGGACTCCTCAACATTTACGACCTCCACAAAAAACCCCTTCTGATATTTTTTTTTCTTCACTAATAACTCGTTTTGTCTTTCAGTTGGATACATCTAAATAGATCTCTCTTTGAGAACCGATTTGAATAGTTGTTGTTACTGTGTTTCATTAAAATTATAATTCAAAAAATTTCCACAACACCATTTAAATGAAACGTAATCTCATGGTGTTTTATTTGTTTATTCTAAACAAGCTCTTGATAGATGTATAAGAACTATCGTCTAAATTAGAGCGAATAGTTTGGGCGGCAAGTCGATAGATAAGAATACTATTCAACTGTTCAATATATATGTATATATATATATATATACTGTTATTGTATCGAACAAGAAGATGAGTAGGAACAACTGAATGTATTTGACACGAAATATACAGACTATTTTAGTAAAATCTGACAATCATACCGTAAATAGTTAATTTGCAAACTATCAATCAATTGACTTAATCTTGATGGCTCCTTCTGTAAATATCAGTTCATCGTCTCCGTTTGTTATTGTATATGCATTTTTATTACGATTGTGTTTCTTTTCCGTTCTTTCCTTATCGATCTTCTATTGAAATACATTCAATACCCGATCATCGTTATAAACTACTTATGTGGTTATAAGTAAACCACACCACATAGTAACTCTCTAATGAATTGAGTGATATAGTTTCTAATACTCTGTCTAAGAACCAAAATCCCAATTCAATATAACTACGCTTCATTTCATAATATCTTCTTGTAAACTGAGCATATTTTACACTGATTCTAAGCTTTTGTGAATAAAATCCTGTACGAAAATTGGATTCCTTTTACAAATATTTAACTTGAATAAGTTTTATTTCACAAGTATCATACAAAACTGCTTGTATTTAGCATTCATATAAGCTTAAACATAATTGAAATCAATATTCAGCACTTTGAATTTTAATTTATCTAAATTAATCTTATCTGTTACACCTTTAGCAACGTTAAAAAATGTTGTCCATATGATTGACCTTCTGAAGTTTTAAAAAAAACCTCTCTTTCGAAATATACTTTTAGTTACTTACTTTCACTAGTTTTTTAAAAATACTGTAGCTATAACTAATTCCTCAAAATCAATAGCTTTTCAAGTGTTCGACATTGGATGCTAACCACATTGTTTTAAGTGGACTTGTTTAGCTGAAGGCGTTTGGTCATGCATCCTCACTAGATCACGTTACAGCACAGCGTGGGAAACATCTCCTACGATCATTAGCCAGATCAGATCAATCGCTCCTCGATATATTGATAACGCATCAAATATATCTTACAACTTTTTCGCTTCTGACTTCTGATTTTAACTGGGTGGGGCACGATTTGATTATAGTAGGTGTTACTGGTCAAACTACAATACTGGTGGTATCTTCAATACTGTATACTGTTCAATAGTGCAGAGTTAATAAGTAGATATATCATTTATTCCACTAAATTACATACTTAATAATTACAACTAATAGATAAAAATACTAAAATATTTACATATTATCAAATATAATAGAAATAAGTAGCAATCCCTCACATAGAATCCTGAAAGTCAAAGGAAAAGAGGAAAACTAAAGAACATATTACGCAGAGAAATGGAGACAGACATGAGAAGAATGAACAAATAATTCGATAGAACTAGAAAAAGAATGCACATGACAGAATGAATGGGTTCTTTTTATTTTCTTTATTTGAACACATAAATATTGGTACAAAGGGGCACTAGATACATATGCGCCATACAAATCACATTTGATTTGTATGAGGGCTGTGATACTGTCCGGGTGCCCAAACAGAAGCAGGTGGTTTGCTTATGGGGCCACACCCGGAGCCTTTGACCAAAAGGTCTGATCCACAAGGCAGTGGAGCATCGTGAGGCGATGAAGTCTCATGGTTTGGAATCAGGATTTTCCAACTCCCCTAGGTGAACTTTCCTTGTCCACCGACCCGGTTAAAGCGCCGGACATTCGCTTTCCGCCCTTTAACTATCCTAAACAACAATAATTCCACGAGAAGGCAGTGAGTAGGAATTCCCTGTTAGGGACTATATACGCGTATCTGTGTGAGAGCATTTTGAGAGGGAGAGCGGACTCTCCCTACTCTCAGCCGTACCAGGGCATTTGGGGGCCTGAGTGGGTTGGAGAATGGTGGTCGGCGGCCTATGTTCCATTGGGAGTAACAGACGTAAGTAAGTAAGCTTAATGAATATATTTAATTTTTAACAAAATATATAAAGGAATCAAAAAGAAATGTACGATTGTAGATAACCAAAATATTCTTGAATGTAATTCTTTAAAATATACTAATTGTAAAGATTTTGTAGGTCTATAAACAGCACAATCCAATGGTGATGAAAGATGATGAATATTGATATTGTCTTGATAAATTCTTCTTGATGAAATATATTTAAATGTTTCATTCCATAGTTTTAATCCATTCACTTTAGATAGAGGTATATTTGGATTATTTGTATATGAATTACATGGTGAATTAGTAAATCCAATCTAGAAATCATATTTAAAATAGAAGAGATGAGGTTATGTTAAGGTACAAATGGATCATTCAAAAAGTGTACATGTGATTGATGAATTATGTAAAAAACATGATAACTTTTGGTTGACCAAAATCTTTAGTTGTGGTGTGGTGTGGGCTACTTATATCAACATAAGTAGTATATATATATATATCGTGAGTCAGGAATAGAATATTTGGCAATAGAAGATTGAAAAGATCGAGATAAAGAAGATCAGAAACAGAAAGCGATTGGTGTGTAAATCCAGGAATAATAAAGCCTGAGACAATGAATGAACATTTTGCAAATGAAATATCAGAGTATGGTTTTTCCTATTTTATGAAGGAACTTTGTAATTTGTGCTATATAGATAATTGGTTATCCTTATCTATGTTCTCATTCACTATAGTGTTACTACCATATAACGTTTCTGACAGAATAGGTGTTGTTATTTCTTAAAAAAGAAAAACCGTCCTTTATAAATAACCATGTTTCAGTCAGTTAGCTACAAAGTAGGATCAGTTACATTTATGCATCGGTTCAAGTTGCCATAATTCATCAGCACAACAAGATCAACACTGAATTCATAGAAGTAGTTAATTTACTGGTGGTAATACATATAAAAAGATTCTATATAAGGATATTGTACAGGAAAAAAGACAAATATGTATACACCTACGCCATTGTGATCGATTTTGAGCCATGTCACACAGAGTCTCCAACCATTGGTTACGATAGTCACGCGAACTCCAACCAAGTAGTCTGCATCTGCTAATGTGGCTCAGACTAGAAGTTAGTGACTTCAAGCACTGATGCCACGTTTTGGTTTGGCCGCCCCTAACTCTCTTCCAACCATCCCTAACACTAGTCAACTAGACATAGTAACACCATAACAAGCAGTACTAAGTTATTCTTGATTGATTTAAAAATTAAAACCAACTGATTAATCAAAATAATGATATACCTGCATATTTTCTTGATCAAATATAGTATAGTATGCTTCAAGAAATACTGAACCCAATATTGTATTTCTATGAGTTGGTTGTATTGCAAAAGCAAAACAATCTCTACTTTGATTATTTCGGTTTATTCTACCAAGGTATCTAACATATTGCTGAAATATAAAAAAGAATTATTAATATATAAACCAGAAAAAATGGTACAAAGTACGAAGTAAAATTATATTTACAACGTAATTGGATTTATAAGCAAAGATGGATAGTAGCTAGTAGTGAAATCCACGACGCGCGTTTTGTCCTATTTGGGACTCATCAGCTGGATGTGCCTGCACCTCACAGTTGATGTTCACTCTAGAACTCTAACCGATCACCGTTCGCTTTAAACGCCATCGCGTTATCCACTCAGCTACTGAGTCCTGATAGCCATTTGCTTATGCAATGTGGTGAAGTTTTAATTCACTTGGTATTATTTGTTTGAATCTTCCCATTGATGTTTAGGACTGCAATTGATCCGTCTGTTATTAGCATATGTGTATACTGCGAGGATTTTCTCGATATTGCTATTAAGCCACAAGCATAGGACGAAACGCGCGTCCTGGATTCTACTGATAGCCACTATCCACCTTTGCTTATAACCAAATTTTATTGAAAAATGTTCAAGTAAAATTTTTTATAGACATATATTAAACGATGAATAAAACAACATACTTAGTAGAAATATAGAACTTAATCATCAGCTGACAGGTTTGAACCTTAAACTCCAACATTATGGAATCTAAACTTTTATTATTCAACTACTTATCACAAAAAAACAATGATCTATAACATTCAATACATATTACTAAATTCTTTGTTTATATAAAATTTACTATTGGAACATTGTGAGGATGGACCACAGGTGAACTCAAGGCAACTCTAAGAACCTCAAAAAGAGCCGGAAACATTCCATCCAATCATCTATTGAAAGAAAATTCCACAATCTCGATGTGTAGCTTCCCTATTGGATAAATGCTAAAAACCATTGTTTGCGGATTGTATGATTATAATGATGATTCCATACTTAATTACTCACGCCTGTTACCTCCCTGTTACCCGTCATCGAGGAGCATAGGCCGCACACCAGCATTATCCATCCAACCCTGTCCTAGACAATCCCTTCCAGTTATTTCCAGTTAACATTCATTCTTTTCATATCTGCTTTTATTTCTCGACGTAATGTGTTCTTTGGCCTACCTCTTTTCCGCTCCCGACCGTTGCTGCTACCTCGACGTGGTGGTCGGGCTTGCCTATCGTGATGAACCAATCGAGCTATACTGGCTGGAACAATCGTTCCTCAAGGTCCTACTATGCTAGACAGGTCGGTTGAAGAGCGGTAAGACTAAAAGCACCAAACCCGAGGTCCGAAGGCGAAGTCTTACTGCTGACTGTACAGAGGTGTGACGGCAGTAAGGTGTTTCCTTCAGACAACCAGCATAACACTGATGCTGCCTTCTCACAAGGAGGGGTGGGGTTAGAAAAGGTCGACCCTAAAAATGCACACCTCGCCTTATCCCACGGATTTCCGTCTCCGGCGGTAAGGTCCTTTGAAGAACGGAGCTAACACGTCAAAAATCCCCACAAGAAAGACGTGCGTGACCGGCCTCAAGCAGTTGTCCCTTGGGCACTGCGGTCACGCTCCCAGGTCGTTAAAACCAACACTAATCCAACTTCCTTTTCAGGGCCCTCAAGAAATACCCTTTCACGGTGTGGACAGCCGGGAAGTGATATTAGCCCTCATACCCTTAACTGCACACAAGACCAAGTTGGTCAAATTCAAATCCTTCCTACACCTAATAACTCCCTTATTTCCACGACTAACCCTTCTCACATCCTTTTATCACCTCGCACCACTAGGGCAAACGATTCGAGTACACGGAACGTTATTCCTGGTCTCATAAAACCACGCTCTAAACTATATGTAGGAACTTTTAACGTCCGAACATTGTGTCAATTAGGACAACAGGCTTTCTTAGCTAGGACTCTAGAATCTCGCACCATCGATGTGTGCTGCGTCTTCGAAACGCGGACAAAAATCCAAGTAGCGTCATTCATTTGACCTCACCATGTCAAAATAAAGATTCATCTCGATACACGCTTCGTGTATCTGGAAGCCCTGATGCTGCTTCCCGTGGCTTCGCTGGAGTAGGTATAGCATTAAGTCCTAGGGCAGAACTAGCTCTTTTAGACTGGATCCCAGTAGACAGTCGTCTATGCGCTGTCCGACTAAACGGAACAGTAAGGACTCGGAAAGATAGGGAAACTCGTCGTTGCCTCTTCGTCGTCTCTGCCTCCTCTCCCACTGACGATGATAATGATGATGAGTATTACAGAGAACTTTCTGACCTTCTCCGAAAAGCTAGGCATTCTGATGTCGTAATAGTGTCTGGTGACTTTAATGCTCAAGTAGGTAAACTAAGTGAAAGGGAAAGACACCTGGGTGGATCTTATGGTGTCGTGGTTCAAAGAACAGATAATGGCGACTGTCTGTTGCATCTGTGCTCAAATAACCGGCTATTTCTTGCAAATACTAACTTTAGGCATAAGGAAAAACATCTTTTGACATGGCGACCCCCGAATTCGTCCCAATGTTGGACCCAATTAGATCGCATCGCTATCAGCCACCGATGGAGGGGTTCAATAGAAGACTGTCGCTCATTCTGGGGCACATGTTTAGATTCAGATCATGCTCTAGTGCGAGCACGTATCTGTCTGCGACTTACTGGACGTAGGAAAGACACTGCAGGGAAGCCTCTAAGGGTTCTACTTAATGATAAGCAAGCTAAGAATATATTTCAGGAACAACTAGAAAAACAGTTAGACAGACATGTAAGTTGTGCCCACCCCGAAGCAGCGTGGAATGACATCCGAAAGCTGTGGAAACAGCAGTGATATCCGCTAGTAAGGTAAGCCATAAGGTCAGGGAGAAAAATGGATCTCAACAGCATCTACCGCACTGATAGATGCTCGTAAACTCATTCCATCTGGCTCTGAACATAATGAAGAGCGGAGTCAGCTTAAAAGAAGGCTAATAAGAAGCCTACGCAATGATCGTGAACAGTGATGGGTAGCGAAAGCAAGAGAGATGGAAAAGGCAGCGGCAATAGGTAACAGCAGACAGCTATTCAGACATATTAAAGAAACCGGCATTAGGAACCCAACTATTAGCGAAACTATCTCAGACAAAGATGGACATATTATTCATTCTCGATCCAGGAGATTGGATCGATGGGCAGAACACTTTAGGGATTAGTTCAACTGGCCTTCAGCCATACTTCAGTTACCCACGATCCCCAGTCATCCTGAATGGCAAATTGAGGTAAGTCCTCCAACTCTCTACGAGGTTGAAAAAGCTATAGGAAATGTGAAGCGGGGGAGAGCCGCGGGCCCTGACAGGCTTACCCCTGAGATTTTTAAGGATGGTGGTCCAGTACTAGCAGTGAGATTGACTAAAGACTTAAGTAGAATCTGGGAACTGGACGTAATTCCATCTGACTAGTCCCAATCACTGATTGTACCAGTCTATAAGAAAGGACAAAAGTCCTCCTGTGACAATCACAGAGGGATCAGTTTGACTAATATAGTGTCTAAAATATTAGCTTCAATAATACTGGGTCGCCTAACCACAGCTCGTGAAGAGCAGACTAGAGAAAACCAGTCTGGTTTTCGACCTGGACGTGGTTGCATAGACCAGATATTCACCCTACGTCAGGTCCTAGAACATAGACATAAATTCAGACGTCCCACAATAGTAGTATTTCTTGACCTTAAGGCGGCATTTGACTCCGTGGATCGTGAGGTTCTATGGCAGTGTTTGTCACTGAAAGGAGTACCAAAGAAGTACATAAACCTCATAAAGGCTCTCTACTCGAACACAACTGGTCGAGTTAGAGCCTATGGCGAACTGTCATCAGAATTGGTTACCTCAAGTGGTGTTCGTCAGGGCTGTCCACTCTCACCATTCTTGTTTAATTTTGTCGTCGACATGCTTTTAGAGATTTCAATTTCATCATCTCAATCTCCTGGAGTTGAACTTTTACCGGAAGGCTCACTTGTTGACTTAGAATACGTCGACGACATAGTTTTATTCGGTGAAGACGCTGACAAAATGCAGAGTATTCTGACCACTATAAGCAACAATGCAGGCATGTTCGGGATGCGATTCTCTCCCTCGAAGTGCAAAATGTTACTTCAGGATTGGGTTGCATCGGCACCTGAACTAATGATAAGGAGTGAAATAGTTGAGCGTGTTGACCACTTCACTTATCTTGGGAGTCTTATCAGCCCTTGTGTTCTGATGTGTGACAAAATCTCAGCACGGATACAGAAGGCTCGTCTAGCTTTCGCCAACTTGCATCATTTATGGCGTAGGCGAGATATCCGTCTAGCAACAAAAGGACGGGTTTACTGTGCAGCAGTTCGTTCCGTCCCACTTTATGACAGTGAAACATGGCCCATAAGAGTAGGGGATATTCGTAGGCTACTAGTAATCGATCATAAGTGTCTTCGAAGGATTGCTCGTATATCCTGGGACCACCGAGTAAGTAATGCAGTTGTTAGGAAACGGGTACTATGTAAAGATGGAAAATCGGTTGATGAAGTAGTGAAACTTCATCAGTTGAGATTGCTGGGACACGTGTTATGCATGTCGAACCACCGACTGCCCCGATGTGCAATGTTTCATGATGTAGGAGTAAGCTGGAAGAAAACTAGGGGCGACCAGACCAAAACATGGCATAAATCCATGAAGTCACTGTCAATTGGACTGAGTCATGTTGGTAGATGTAGACTACTTGGTTGGGATTCGCGAGATGACAGCAATCGGTGATTAGAGACCATGAATGATATGGCTCAAAATCGTTTGCAATGACGAAGGTGCATCCACAATTTGTGTTCTCCCAAATTCTAATCTTCTGAATTCTTCATGTCCCTATCCTTTTTCTCTTTCCAAATTTATTTCACTGGATTATACTCCTTCAATAACATCTTCAAACCCTAATCTTTCGGAATACTGCTTATACTCTTACTACTTCTACCACTATGGGATTTGAATGATGTTATAAACGTATAACAATCGTTATTGTATATGAAACGTGCAATGATACAGAAAATACGTACGAGCAGTCTTGATTGCTATTCGGTCCTTCCTAACTGCCTAGCCCAGCCAGTTGAGTCCAGAACACAAATAACAGCCTCGGAAATATGAATCCTTATTCACAAGCATACTGGGTTTATATACTAACCAAACAGACCCAATTATACCAAAAAATAGAAAAATAACATTTGTACAGTAATTGGCCAATGTGGCTATGGATAGGGGGAAAGTAATCAATAATAATAGTTCAAAGGTCAAAATAAGGTTACGGTAAGAGGAACACGAATACAATTAGGTCAGTTATTTAACAACTAAACAATAGGAATTAGGCATATTACCTTTGTCCATAATAGACCTCAGATTTACCATTCATGATTCACCAGGGGATATAACACCTCCCCTTTTTGAGAAATCCGGAGTTGATAACCGGATTTTAAATTTCTCGAATCCACCCTCCCCCACGAAAGACTGTTGGATCCTCATATAGCCAAGTTACTATTAATGCGATATGTTTGTCACATTTAACAGGGAATGCATTAGAACTGACGAGATCATGAGGATCGATGACATTTGATTCGAGGTCACCAACATTTGATTCTTCTGAAATAGTTTCCTTGAATTCCCTCGGAACCTCATTAGTAGATAATGAATCATTAGGATAATCAGTATCTATGAGAGTTGTATTGGATTCTTGATTATCATTTAATACATTCGATATTTTTCTCACATTTTTATAAGAGATTTGAACAGGAACATATGAATCAGCGAAATAATCGGGATCTGGCAGAACAATTAGATAATTTTGATCATTAGATTCATTAGAAAAATTTTTCGTATCATGAATAATTTCATTTGGCGCCTCTGTATTCAATATACTGCTCGATTTGCTTCCCATTTCTTCGTGGGCGGGTACTGCATCAATTTCATGAGCATTTGACATGGCATCATGTTGCTGAGAGCTGGGAGCATCACTGTTCGGACCTGCTAATTCAGGGATAGTGGTGTTTGAATCCACTACCGGGCACGTTTCTGAAATGGATAGTGCTGGACAACCGGGCGTCTCTTGAGAGACTGCTGTTTCGTTTGAGTTGCGGCTGGTCGAGGATTCATGGAGGCTGTGATCATTTTCCAGTTCTGCGTGAAATTCATTGATTAATCCATCCACTTCCGACGCGTATGCAAAGCATTGGTGATCCAGAAGCTGTGTGCGTAGTTTGACCATGAACTCCAAATGTCGGTCAAATAGCAACTGTAAGCGGTCAGAAGGGAGCGTCATTTTTCACTTTTGTCCCCGTCGCCAATTGTTATAAACGTATAACAATCGTTATTGTATATGAAACGTGCAATGATACAGAAAATACGTACGAGCAGTCTTGATTGCTATTCGGTCCTTCCTAACTGCCTAGCCCAGCCAGTTGAGTCCAGAACACAAATAACAGCCTCGGAAATATGAATCCTTATTCACAAGCATACTGGGTTTATATAACAAATGAACAACTGCATCTCTGTGCTAATGTGGTATGGCAACTCGAACTGATGTACGTATGTACGAAGTTCTACGTTGTGACTGACTGACCTCTTTTCCACTTCCCTTCCTTTTTCCACGTTAGGGATCGTCTCGTGATTCACATTGGTGATTTCCTTATCGTATGCCCGATCCACTTCCAACGTCTTTTCCTATTATCCTCTTCAGCTGTAAGCTGGTTTGTCCTCTCCCATAAAACGTTGTTGCTGATAGTATCAGGTCAGTGAATGTAGAATATTTTGCGTAAATAACTGTTTATAAATAATTGTACCTTCTTATCGATGGATGTAGTTATGATGATTCTACTTTTACTAAAAACTATAAATACCTCATAGTTTTGTACCATATATGACATTTCTTCTCACTCGTTTTCTGTCTTCTTATTTGCGAATTGAAGGGTTCTAACATTTAAGTGCTCAAGTAGTATACAGTATATCAAGAATTTAAGCTCTAGATATAACAAACAAGTTTCCTAAACAACTCAAATACATACAACTAATCATAAAAATGAATATATATATATATATATATATATATATATATATATATTAATTATCAGAAGGGGTTTTGTTAAGATTTAATAGTTTCATAGTTGAAAGCGTAAGTCAATTGAAGCTAGACCACCATGAACGAAACGGCCGTCCAGTGCTTTCAGGTTTTCCCTAGTGATCTAGCTTCAATTGACTTACGCTTTCAACTATGTATATATACGTATACATATGTATTATACAACAAAAACAAAAAAATAAACTTACCTGTGGTGATAATAATAAAGAAATAATTTCATTTAATGTATTATAACTTGATATTAATTGAAATTCAATCATTGGAAATGATTGATAAAATAATTTTATTGATTTTTCATGATTGATTTTATTATTGATTATTTTAGGTAAACAATATGCATTTTTACCATACCAAAATAATTTTTTATTTTTAATATTATTAAAAATCGATTTCTGATCGATATATTTGATTAGAATATAACGAATTAATTGTTGAAATATTTTTATTGGTAAATAAATATTAGTTGTACCACTATCAATGATTGTTTTATATAAATTTAACTAGAATAGAAGAAAAAAAATGAAAAAAAAAGTTAATCAGAAGGGGAGGGGTTTGTGAATATGAAATTATGAATCAATTGAAGCTAGATCACCATTGGAAATCTGAAAGCATTAGGTTCAAATCTCATGTGGCAGGATCGTGGATGCGCATTGCTGAAGAGTCCCACAATAGGACGAAACGGCTGTTCAGTGCTTCCAGGTTTTCCATGGTAGTCTAGTTTCAATTAACTCATCATTTCATCTAATCAAACAGTTTTAATACGACCAATAATATAATAATACTTCAATGGAAAAAATATGAAATCAAAAATTTTTCAATATCTTATCAAGTATAAGGTTTTTTGTGGATATTATAGTCATCTTGATAGTTGAGATCATAAGTCATTTGAAGCTAGGTACGAATCGCATGAGCCAGGATCGTAGGTGTGTATTGCTGAGGAGTCCCACAATTGGATGAAACGGCCGTTCAGTGATTTTCAATGGTAGTCTAGCTTTAATTGATTCATGATCTCAATTATTAAAAAAATTTATGTTTTTGATAGATAGATAGATAGAGATTTTATTATGTATTGAATTCAATAATATATATTAAGATAAAACAAAAAAATACTGAAAATACTGAAATCTCCACAAAACCCTTTTCTGATCTATAATCATATGTTCACTAGTGACTGACTTCAAGGGATGTTTCCTTGACTTCTATTGGGAAGCAGTGACCAGTGGAATTCACCCAACTCTGCTGTAGAGATATCAATTCACTGAAGACAATTGGTGAACGGTTGCTCAAACATCGTGGATTGGTTGAAGTTAGACATTAACACCGTTGGATAACGGCTAAGTGGTCTATCAGTTAAGTGCTCTAGCGCGAGACTAGTAGGTCCTGGGTTCGACTCTCATGAGGTATGATCATGGATGTGCACTGCTGAGGAGTCCCATAATAGGACGAAACAGCCGTCCAGTGATTCCAGGTTTTCCATGGTGGTCTAGCTTGAATTGACTCATGATCTCAACTCTATAAAATTAACTAACATTGTTAAAATCCTATAAATATATTTTATTATAAAATCAACTGTTATCTGTGTAACCATGTTAACAGTATATTACAATGATAAGCCAATCTTAATAAGACTGAATTAATAACCACATCCTTTGATATATTTAAACATTTTAGTTGTCACTACTTTTAATCATTTTTCTATTCAAATATAAGAAATTTATTGGAAATAAACATGAAATGTACTTTAGAGGCTGACCCTATGTCAAGTCAACATAGGTTATTCTAACCTCTGAACAAATCAATCTATTCATTGCTCTCAAGTCACATTTTGATCTGGTCAATTATTTACTTATCAACCTTGACTATTTTTATATAAGCGTATCTGTGTTCGATAATGTAATAAGAAGACGAAGATTATCAGAACTATGTGATAGTATATTAGCGCAATACATTTCGAACAATCTGATCACACATAATATACTTGTTAAGAACATTTAGATATAAAAATAAAAGGTCAACTAGACTGGAAATAGGGGTAAGAATAGACAAGGATAATAATGATAAAATAATGTGAAAACAACTTGACACCTAATCACTCTGGATAATAAGCTTATATTACCAGGGTAGGTTTTTGAATACACAAAGGGGTTTTTAATTTTTTGTATAACTAAGGCTTCAATAAAGCTTAGTATACACCCTTTTACACTTTTATACAACACTACAAAAGCCGAGTTTAGATCAATCTTATGACCTGTTTCGATTATATGTTTAGCAACAGAGGATTATGGATGTTTATCCTCTACTCTTATTGGGTCATTCGACTGTATTTGTTTTTACAACCATTTTGGTACATGTTCACCCACCCTAATTTTCAGATCACGATTGCTCCTCCCTATGTATGTGTGACCACACACACATTTAAATTGGTAAACGCAGTGGGATGTGACACAATCGTTTTCATGTCGTCTAGGCTTTGAATGAAGCATGGACCTAGTTCTTTCTTTGATCATGACCTTTGCTGCACAATATGTTTTGTTGATGACTGATTTAAGCCTTTGTTTCAATAAAAGGCTATTTGAATCACCTCTAAATGGTAAGGTGATGTAAACAGGCTTTTTCTCTACCAAGGCTACAGCAGGTCTCGCTGTGCCCATAACTTGTCATCTATTGATAAATTTAGGTGGATAACCATTCCCGATTAATGTCATGGTTAACAACTTAACATCGTCATCAATAGCATCGTTTGTGCAAATACGACGAAGCCTGTTAAATAGGCACTTTACCAAACCACGTTTGTATTGCACAGGGCAATAACTATAGTAACTAAGATATTGACCCATCCACGTCGGTTTTCGAAAAATGGATCGTTTTATTGAGCCATCTTCTCATCTGCTTAGAAGTACATCTAGGAAGGGGAGTTGGTCGTTCTTCTCCTCTTCACATGAAAGACTGATATGGTTTTGGATAGTGTTAAATTTATTCAATAGGCAGTTTATGTCTTCCATTCTTTCGCCAATTACTAAGATACCGTCCACATATCTCTTATAAAGTGACATGTTTTCGATTAAGTCTTCAGATAAATTTTCTGTGTTCATTTCTTATCTTATTCATCACATGTCTGTAACTTATTTTTGTCTGACCATAAATATTAAGTCAAGCCTCATTAAATTGAGTTGGCTCAATCGCTTTCTCCATTGCACATCATTTTGTTTTACTTCGCTTTCTGATCAAAAGTGGTACGAACTATACGTACTAAAAACTCCATTCTCATATTTGATTTATTTAATTCCGTTCTTTACCAATGCGATTTAAGTCGATAATTGTATGCAAGTATATTTCGACAACAATCGTTCGATAACGATCATTCGTTCAATCTAACTAGAGTCAGACATAGAGCCACTAATTTTGATGGAGTTTTGTTCTCTGAGCTGGATGGTTTGGTCGTGGAGCTTTCATCGTCCTTCTGAACGACATAACCAGTAGAAAATTTTGGGTAGTAGTAAAGTGTTTGAATTTCTCCACATGTGATTCACAACTTGTCCTGCACATCTCAATGTTGATTGGTTTTTGTTGACCATAAATCTGTCATTGTTTACTTCTTCGTTTTGGTTGTATCGCCCACTAAATTACTATAGAAAAGTTTACTATTCATCTTCATGTTTATAGTTATTATAATTGAGAAGTATTGATAACTTGATTGAAAAACCAAGTTCACTGAGTATAAGATTCTGTATCCTCATGATGCAATGGTAACCGAATACATGTTCATATACTTTGATTTGAGTGATACATTTTTATTATAGGGGTTACCAATAATACCTGACACTGCACAACAAAGTAGTAAAAACAAAATCCTTTAACAACCATTTCATTATACGTTTATATAAACCATGGATTTCAATTAAGCATAATTCCAGTAAGTCAGTCACTCACAACGTAGAATTTCGTACATACGTACATCAGTTCGAGTTGCCATACCACATTAGCACAGATATGCAGTTGTTCATTCAAATCCCATAGTGGTAGAAGTAGTAAGAGTATAAGCAGTATTCCGAAAGATTAGGGTTTGAAGATGTTATTGAAGGAGTATAATCCAGTGAAATAAATTTGGAAAGAGAAAAAGGACACAAATAATTCAGATTAGAATTTGGGAGAACACAAATTGTGGATGCACTTTCGCCATTGCAAACGATTTTGAGCCATATCATTCAAGGTCTCTAATCATCGATTGCTATCATCTCGCGAATCCCAACCAAGTAGTCTACACCTACCAGCATGGCTCAGTCCAATTGTCAGTGACTTCATGGATTTGCGCTACGTTTTGGTCTGGTCGCCCCTAGTTTTCTTCCAGCTTACTCCTACATCATGAAACATTGCACATCGGGGCAGTCGGTGGTTCGACATGCATAACACGTGTCCCAGCAATCTCAACTGATGAAGTTTCACTACTTCATCAACCGATTTTCCATCTTTACATAGTACCCGTTTCCTAACACCTGCATTACTTACTCGGTGGTCCCAAGATATACGAGCGATCCTTCGAAGACACTTATGATCGATTACTAGTAGCCTACGAATATCCCCTACTCTTATCGGTCATGTTTCACTGTCATAAAGTGGGACGGACCGAACTGCTGCACAGTAAACCCGTCCTTTTGTTGCTAGACGGATATCTTGCCTACTCCATAAATGACGCAAGTTAGCGAAAGAATTAAGCATAATTAAATTATTATGAATTATTTCATTGAAAACATGAATTTGGATTTACCTCTTTACAATTATCTACTAAACTGTATTGATCAATCAAAAGATCGGTGAGAATTATTTCATAATACCATGCTTTTCGAATAGGCGTGTAATAAACTGTCGATGGGTTTAAGCTTGGTATTTTCGATGATGACATATTGTTAGTAATATAAGTAGACGGCCAGAGTAGATTTAAATCTGTTCGACCAATTATTAGTTTACCTGACATCTTTCGTGAATTCATATCTGGATCGTTGAACTACATGTAACAAAGAGAGATATATTAAAATATATTTGGTGATGTAATCGAGTTGATAGAATTTGATTAAAACAAGGAACTAAATGAATGTCACACTGGTCACTACACATTAATCACTGAGTGTATTAATCTCATTTCTTTCTACGAAAAGTTTGTTGCAACATGAATGAATGAGTGGTTATGTTTCTGAATATGATATTGAACAATTCTGATTCAGTCTAAACATAAATCATAAACACCTTCAATATTTTATATAGTTGAAAGCATGAGTCAATTGAAGCTAGACCACCAGGGAAAACCTGGAAGCACTGGATGGCCGTTTCGTCCTATCGTGGGACTCCTCAGCAGTACGCATCCACAATCCCGCCTCGAGAAATTCTAACCCAGGACCTACCAGTCTCGTGCTAGGGCACTTAACTGATAGACTACTGAGCCAGCCGGTATCCAACGATGTGAATGTCTAACTTCAACCAATCCACAAAATTGCGCGACCATCTCCCATTGTACTGAGGTAGATACCTGTCTCTACCTAAAATGGATTAGCTCCACTGTTCACGACTTCTCACTAGAACCCCAGAAATTACCACATGGAGCCAGTCACCAGTGAGCATACGATCACGAAACTTTCATTAAACAGGGCTTCCTGTTGATTGTATTCAGCTGTCTAAAGTATCTAGTTATTTATGTGTCAAATTACATAGCCTAAACGTTTTAAACTTTTTGTTAAATCCTGACAATCTGAAAATAATTTTATTTATATCAACAATATAACTAAATCAAACACATTTTACAGGTCCCTGTGTAATTCCAATCATAAAAATTTGAATTTGTTGAACTTGATGATGTAACACAACTAAGTCGATCAAAAGATCTGTTTTCAATGTTGTTGTAAGTTAAGCTAAATTCAGTTGTTATTGTTTTACTTTAATCTTCCCATTGATGTTTTAGGACTGCAACTGGTCTGTCTCTAATTGGCATATGTGCATATGTGCGTACTGCCTCGATATAGCCTTAATTCACAAGCATTGTAAGCAAAGATGGATAGTGGCTAGCAGTGGAATCTAGGATGCACGTTTCGTCCTATTTGGGACTCGTCAGCTGGATGTACCTGCATCTCACAGTTGATGTTCACTCTGGGACTCGAACCCAGTACCGTTCGCTTCAAACGCCATCGCCTTATCCACTTGGCCATTGAGTCCTGGACATCAACTCTGAGATGCAGATACATCCAGCTGACGAGTCCAAAATAGGACAAAACGTGCGTCCCTGCTTCCATTACTAGCCACTATCCATCTTTGCTTATAATGCTTGTGAATTTAGGCTATATCGATTCATTACGTACAGTGTGCACAAATGCCAATTATAGACTGAACAATTGCAGTCCTAAAACATCAATGTGAAGATTCAACCAAGCAATACTTTATTTATTTATTTATTTTATTTATTTGAACACATAAATATTGGTACAAGAGGAAGCACCAGATACATATGCGCCACACAAATCTCACTCGATTTGTGTGAGGGCTGTGATATTGCCCAGATGCCCAAACTGAAGCAGGTGGTTTTCTTAGGGGTCCACACCCAGTGCCTTTGACCTAAAGGTCTGATCCACAAGGCAGTGGAGCATCGTGAGGAGATGCAGTACCATGGTATCCGGTGACCAACGATTGATTCATACGCTATTTGTTTCCTCAGGATACTGGAGCCCATGTACACGATTGGTTTGGAATGAAGGTTTTCCAACTCCCCTAAGTGGAGTCTCCATGTACACCAACCTGGTTAAAGCGCCGAACATTCGCTTTTCGTCCTCTCAATTTCGTAAACAACACCAATGTCATGAGAAGGCAATGAGTAGAACTTCCTTGTCAGAGGCTATATATGCGTGTCCATGTGAGAGCATTTTGAGAGCGGACTCTCACCACTCTCAGCCGTACCAGGGCATTTGGGGGCACCAAACAATACTAAATGAATTTGATCTTTCAAACCCTTTAAATAATAATAATTAAAAAGAGAACAATATCAATTATTTACCAATGTAGTTCCACATAATAATAATCCAAATTGTTTATGTATATTCCATATAGAATTTAATTGATCTATATAAGTGAATTGATTATTATTATGATTATGATTATGATCAAATAATTGATTAATTAATTGATTTTTCCAATTAATCAATAAATTTTTTTGATAATGATGATGATTATAAATATTGATTAATTTTGGTTTAATATAAAGTGTTGTAAATCCTAATCCAATAATTCCATACCATGTAGAATGATTATAAATATGTGATAAAAATATTTTATTTGAATTAAAAATTAAACTAAATGATAATTGAATTTGATTAGTAGTATTGATTGAATATTGATTAATAATTGTTGTATCTAGGGGGAAAATAAAGAAATAATAAAAGAATAATTTGGTTTTCAGTATGAAGTTGTGGAGTTTTTTTAAGTTACAATCAATTGTGATTACATCTCAGTCCTACAGGAGGTCACTCACGGCCTGAATAGCTCAGTGGTAACGTCTCTGACTGTGAAGCTGAGTGACACGGGAACGAATCCGTTAGGGAGTACCAGTTCCTTCAAGATTACAGGTACACTTTGCTGACGAGTGCCAAGTAGCACGAAACCCGGGTCCAGGGTTTCTTATTGACCACCTCCAACCACCATCTTAGTTTGTTAAGTTGTTAGACAACCAATGAATACCTTTAAGTACTGAATGGGTGTTTTGTTCTAGTATGGGATGGTTCAACAGTGAGCATCCATCCAGGACCTCCCGTCTTGTGCGCGAATACTTAATCTCTAGGCTACTGAGTCACCCAGCATTCAACAGTGTCATTGTTCAATTTCAACCGACCTACGAAATTGTGAAATCATCTATTGTTTGAGGTAGATATCTGTCTCCACCTGACATGGATTAACTCCATGTACATTTAGCAACAATTTAAACAAGATGAATAATTTTTAAAAATTATAGAATTATCAAATTTGATACCAAACAGCATATAATTCATTATTACTTTTTAAAAATAAAATCGTTGTACGATATGATTAAGCTTAATCTACTGAAAGATGTACTCATGAATTTTCATTTCACTATAGAAGTAACAGCTATGCATAACCTGAAACTAGACATATTAGTATAGATACAGCTTGAACAGTTCTTACTTACTTACTTATGCCTGTTACTCCCAATGGAGCGTAGGCCGGCCACCAGCATTCTCCAACACACTCACTCTGTCATGGACCTTCTTTTCTAGTTCTATTCAATTGTTTGTTCATTCTTCTCATGTCTGTCTCCATTTCTCGGCGTAATGTGTTCTTTGGTCTTCCTCTTCTCCTTTGGCCTTCAGGATTCCATGTGAAGACTTGCCTTGTGAAGCGTTTCTTCCTAAATTTCTTCTTCTGCTGATGGAATCTGGTTTGTTCTCTCCCACGGTACAATGTTGCTGATAGTGTCTGGCCAACGGACTTGAAGTATCTTGCATAAACAACTGTTAATAAACACATGTATCTTCTGGATGATGGCTTTCGTAATTCTCCACGTCTCCGCCCCATACAGTAGAACTGTCTTCACATTTGTATTAAAAATTGGTGTTGATTGACAGATAGTTGTTTTGATTTCCAGATGTTCTTTAGTTGTAAATATTCTGCTCTTGCTTTGCCGATCCTCGCCCTCACATCTGCACCAGATCCACCGTGTTCATCGATGATGCTGCCCAGGTATGTAAGGGTTTTCACATCCTCCAATGCTTCTCCGTCAAGTGTGATTCGATTGGTGCATATTGTATTGTATCGGAGAGTCTTGCTTTTCCCTTTGTTTATATTGAGACCTACTGCTGCTGAGGCTGCTGCTACACTGGTCGTTTTCTCCTGCATTTGTTGTTGCGTGTGTGATAGAAGAGTCAGATCATCTGAGAAGTCCGGTTGCATCCTAGCTGTCCATTGTATCTCGTGCTTCTCTCGAGACGTTGACGTCTTCATGAGTCAGTCGATCATCAGTAGAAAGAGAGAGGGTGATAGTAAGCAACCTTGCTTGACACCTGTCTTCATCTCAACTAACTCGCTAAAAAATACTAACCAGGAGGCTTGAATAGTAGCTTTGATTATCATCTTTTTGAATAATTCGAGACTTCTGAATTGTGCTTCGTAATATATGATATTAGCTACTACTCGGTGATACAGTAGGATATATCAGTCTTAAATAATGCCAGTTGATGCCTGAATACTTCAGTACCACCATTCCTCAAGTCAGTTCCAGCCATAATTAAAGGTATCACCTTCCTCATAACTGAAAATACATCTTACTGACCAGTACCAACTAACAATAACATTAGGTCATACGAAGCTTCCTGATGATTGTCTCTAATCATCTAACACTGAGGCAAAGTTCACCCCATGATATACAAAATAGTGTTCTATAGTAATAAATAGTTGGAGAAGATTGGTAGAAAGCCTTATTTAACATAATATTAATGCTAATTGGGACTTATCAGAAAGACATGTTTGAAATATTGATGAAACTGATGAGTCTCTTTCAATAGAAACTCATATAACCCAGTTTTACAGTTTGAGATGTTAAAGTCTAAGTACTCGGTGGTCCCATTTCTGAATATCGATTTCTGTTTAAGATTTCAGGAACATATAGTTTAATTTTGAATGTCAAATTCTGTTTATTATTATATTTTTCACTATCTAAACATACGATAATAAACGATTTTGATGGCATCGTTAAAGGATAACGGTGTTACTGGTAAAACGATTGTATGAAGTTGAAACACTACCAGTTGAAATGCTACCAAATGACTATCTAATATAAGTTATATCAACGTAAACTGAAAGTTTGTATAAATATTTTAGGTTGAAAATATTCAAGCGATACGTGGCCATTAAGAGTAGAAGATACTCGTAAGTTACTAGTATTTGACCACAGATATATTGAACAGAAATATTACTCGCATCTGTTGGGATCACCATGTATGTAATAGTGAGGTTAGACGCAGGGTATTAGAGAATGATGGTAAATCAGTTGATGATGTCATGAATCTTCATCGGCTGAGATGATGAGGCCACGTGTTACGTATGCCTGAACACTGGTTACCACGACGCGCTATTGGGGATGGTTGGAAGAAAGTTAGGGGTGACCAAACCAAAACGTGGCATCAGTCCTTAAAGTCATTAACTTCTAGTCTGAACCATGTTGGTAGATGCAGAATACTTGGTTGTAATCCGTGTGACTATCGTAACCAATGGTTGGAGACTCTGTGTGACATGGCTCAAAATCGATCACAATGGCGTAGGTGTATACACTCTTTATCTTCCCTTAAACCTTAAGTTTAAAATTGCTTCATAACGTTCTTCCTTCCTATACTATATCCTAATAGACAACCCTTCTTTTATATATTACCACCACTAAATTAACAACTTTTATGAATTTGGTGTTCATCTTGTTGTGCTGATGAGGTATGGTAACTTGGACCGATGCATCTATCTGCCTGATCCTACGTTGTAGCTGACTGACTGACTGAAAATATTCAAATGTCAGCAAAAGAATATTCAAAGTATTAGTTCAATATCCATTAACAGTATTAACTATGTAATTCTAGGAAAATCATTTTTCATTTTCTTTACAAAAACTATTTACATACCTTGTTTATTTGTAAAATCAAATTCATCTTGACAATAAACACCAGTCCAATAACCTTTCAAATAACGTACACGTTGAATTAAGTGATCACTACATCTCAATGTAGATGATTTGGTAGATTTAAACCAATTGTCAACATTTGTTAAATTTCTACCAGCAATTGCTAAGTTACTACTGCCAGTATCAACAAGTAATTGAATCTGCAAATAAATAAAACTGATAACAGCTCAGTTTTTCAACGATACCAATTTACAGTCAAAAAGATCAACCTACATCAAAACCAGAACCATTATGTACAAAGGATCATTGAATACTGAAATACCATGTTATAATGTCAACCATCTGAAGTTTGAAGTATAAATCGTTGTATGATATGTTGGTCAAAAGGAAACACGAATCTTTTAAGCGAGACTATAATTTATGGACGAACCAATCAGATTTAGGATAATAGGTCTTGGAAATTCACTAACCCATTCGGTTAGAAATCGTCTTGGCATTTTAGCTGATGTCAGTTCGTGATGAAAAACCGTAAATCTGATTCCTAAACCTAATCATCAACTATGAATCATAATCCTTATTCTTCAAACTGCTTTGTAACCCTCGTTTAATCCTATTAAGAAGGCAGACACTCTCAAGGTCACTTTAGCATCGCTCAAAGATCATCCATAAATTATAGTCTTACCATCTTTTAAGTTTGACTTTGTATGCGGTTTTGGGTAGTCATCAATAAGAAGCTTCGAATTAGGAATTAAGCTCTTTCTAGTACATTTTGTTGTCAATGATTCCTCCAGTTGATGTCAGTTCATGGAAAAAAAATAGAAAGTAGTATGTTTGGAAAACAGATCAGTATTGCATCATGAAGAAAAGCGATCTAGTATCAAAAAGAGCTTTATGACTAGTTTAAATTGTAACAAAAAATGGTAAAATGAGAACAAATTTTAGATGAGAAGTATTGGAGTTAATTGCCTTCTAGATGAGTTAGTCTAGTGATTACGATCACTTACTACTAAATACTAAAATTATGAATAAAGTGAAAAGCATAGTAATATAATGGAACGAATATGTAACACATAAATAGGGAGTTAGAGATAGATTATTTCATTATTGAAGCCTGTAGCTGTAAATAGTTGTCAAACTACAATAGTGGTGGTATCTTCAACCTGTACAATGTGTTCGATGTAATTATATTGTTGATATAAATAAAATTATTTTCAGATTGTCTGAAGCTAACAAAAAGTTTAAAACGTTTTCATTTGACATATAAATAATCAAATACTTTAGACAGCTGAATACAATCAACAGGAAGCCCTGTTTAATGAAAGTTTCGTGATCGTATGCTCACTGGTGACTGGCTCCATGGGGTAATTTCTGGGGTTCTAGTGAGAAGTCGTGAACAGTGGAGCTAATCCATGTTAGGTAGAGACAGGTATCTACCTCAGTACAATGGGAGATGGTCGCGCAATTTTGTGGATTGGTTGAAGTTAGACATTCACATCGTTGGATACCGGCTGGCTCAGTAGTCTATCAGTTAAGTGCCCTAGCACGAGACTGGTAGGTCCTGGGTTAGAATCTCTCGAGACGGGATTGTGGATGCGTACTGCTGAGGAGTCCCACGATAGGACGAAACGGCCATCCAGTACTTCCAGGTTTTCCCTGGTGGTCTAGCTTTAATTGATTCATGATCCCCACTATTGAAATTGAACAATTATTCGACAAAATGACCGTAGTTTCATTTAGTAAACTGATATAGTAATAAACCAGAATATTCTAAACAGAAACAATTATAATTATACTTTATTAAAAATATAACTTAATTGAGAACCTATTTATCATCCTATAAAATTATAATTTAGTTACCAAGCTTTTAATTATTGTCAGAAGTGGTTTTTGTGGATATTATAGTAATTTTAATAGTTGAAATCATGAGTTAATTGAAGCTAGATCACCATTGAAAATCTGGAACCAGTGACTAGTGGAGTTCAACCAGGTCTGTTGTGAAATAATAACTCACTGAAGACATTGATGGATGTGCCACTTAATTTCGTGGATCAGTTGAAGTAAGACATTCACATCGTTGGATACCGGCTGGCTCAGTGGTATAGAGGTCAAGCGCTCACGCTTCAGATTGACGGGTCCTGGATTCGAATCTCATGAGTCAGGATCGTGGATGCATACTACTGAGAAGTCCTACAATAGGACGAAACAATCATCCAGTTCTTCCAGGTTTTCCCTGGTGGTCTAGCTTCAATTGATCCATGATCTCAACTATTAAATGATTGATTCAATGATTGATTATTTTATATCACAAAACATTTATGATGATTATAATATACTTGCTTTTTGACTTGGTTTACCAATGTAAACTGTCATATAATATCCTTGTCCAGGTATACCAGATAGATCATAAATTATATACGGAGTAAAAGGAATAGAAGGGGATAAAAATAAGCTTCGGGTAGTAGTAGTATTATTATTATCCAATCCAATGACTTGATAGCATATAACAATAATGGAATATAATTTTAATATTAAAATTAATTTCATTATTTAAAAAATGTACTCTTGGATTAATGATATACTATAATTATGATATTCCTGATAAAATTATAGCCTAGTAAATAAATAATCTCGAAAAAAAAGAAGAAAAAAGAAGAAAAAAAAGAAAAAGAAAGGGAAAAAAGAAAAAAAAACATGTTTAACTCTTAAGTACTTAGACCTTTGCTCCATTGGGAGTAACAGGCGTAAGTAAGTACATTTGTGCACTTAGATACATATATTTATTTGATTGAAAAAAAGAAAGAAAGAAAAAAAAGAAAAGAGAAAAAAAAGAAAAAAAGAAAGAAAAACAGTCACTAATTATTTACTCCATTTTAATGCACTTTATTTCTTATATTCATAAATAGAATTTAATAAAATAATAATTTTTTTTTTTAAAAAGTGTAGTCTTATTCAATAATATCATTTATTATGATTTAATATTCAGTCACTCAGTCAGTCAGTTACAACGTAGAACTTCATATGTACATACACTTGGCGCCTTTGAACTAAAGATCTGATCCACAAGGCAGTAGAGCATCGTACAGAGATGAAGTTTCATGGTCATTCAGTCATAACGTAGAACTTCGTACGTATATACATCAGTTCGAGTTGCCATACCACATTAGCACAGAGATGCAGTTGTTCATTCAAATCCCATAGTGGTAGAAGTAGTAAGAGTATAAGCATTATGTGAAAGATTAAGGTTTGAAGATGTTATTGAAGGAGTATAATCCAGTGAAATAAATTTGGAAAGAGAAAAAGGACAGAGACATGAGGAATTAAGAAGATTAAAATTTGGGAAAACACAAAGAATGGATACACCTTCGCCATTGCAAACGATTTTGAGCTATTTCGTTCAAGCTATCTACCCATCGATTGCTATCATCTCGCGCATCCCAACCAAGTAGTCTACACCTACCAACATGGCTCAGTCCAATTGTCAGTGACTTCATGGATTTGCGCTACGTTTTGGTCTGGTCGCCCCTAGCTTTCTTCCAGCTTACTCCTATACCATAAAACATTTCACGATTTAATATTAGAGTTAGTGTTGAGAATTAATTTTTAAGACAAAAATTTAGTCAATATTGATTTTTTTTACAATAATAATTTGTAGTAGTAGAGAAGATTTATAGTTCAGGTGAATGACTTTAATGAAGTTTTTATCCTACTTGATGTTTTTTACTGATGATGTCGTTCAGAATAACGACGAAACCTCGACAATCAAACCATTCAACTTAGTGAACAAAACTCTATCAATGATATTTGTTTATAATAGAAGTTATTAATTTATATAAATAGTAGAAAGAGTATAGAAATATACATAAATATTACTTTCATTTTGAACTGATATAAGCCGGACAACTAGTGAACCTATAACAACTCATGTACATTTGAGTTAGTTCATATCTAATTTGGTAAAGCCCTTTTGTTAACTTATTTAAAGGATAGAGTCATTTGTACAATAACAACTTATTTATACTATTATACCTTTATTAATGTTGCACTTGTATGAATATATATGCTTGAGCATTACTTACTACCTAACGCATATATCATTCTGAAGTAACACTTGAAGCAGCAAATAAATCTGACATAGAAAACATATGGGAAGTGAAAATTAACCTTGAATTTCAGTCGTATTATTTCATTTTGCTGGGAATTCGTTATCGCAGATGTATCCGTATCTATAATTGGTATTGATTTTGTTAAAGAATTTTGACTTATTAGTAGATTCCCGACGAAAACAACTCGTAAGCGCAAACCATTCAGTAGTGATAAAAGGAGTGATAACCGTTCACGTCGGGTTCATCAATTCTGTAGTGGTCGATATTTGATATTATCCTTAAACTTCGTATATTGTTCGTTTTGATAACTGTTACTAGATAATGACCTCATGGTGTATAAATCAGAAGACGAATACGAAGTGTTGATTACGTTCATTGTTGAACCACGCACATATATCCAAAAAAAATCGTGGGTACGCACTGTTAAGGAGTCCCACAATAGGACGAAACAGCCATCTAATGCTTCCAAGTTTTTCATGATGGTCTAGCTTCAATTGACTCATCAATTCAATTACAAAATTATCCTAAATTATCAAATTAAACTTTAGTAATAATATTTATTTATTGTTTTATTGCTATTATTTACATTGTATGATGTAAATTCACTTAGTATTACTTGTTTGAAACTTCCCATTGATGTTTAGGACTGCAACTGATCAGTCTCTTATTGACACATATTCATACTGTGCGTATCGCCTCGATATAGCCTTATTTCACAAGCATTGTAAATAAAGATGGATAGTGGCTAGCAGTGGAATCCAAGACGCGTGTTTCGTCCTATTTGGGACGAAAATAAGGTTATATCGAGGAAATACGCACAGTATGCACATATGCCAATAGTAGACTGACCAGTTGAAGTCCTAAATATCAATGGGAAGATTCAAACAAGTAATACTAAGTGAATTTAAAATTCACCCCATTGCACAATCAAGTGGCTATAAAGACTAAGTAGCTGAGTGGATAACGCGATGGCGTTTGAAGCGAAAGTTACTGTGTTTAAGTCACAGAGTGAACATCAACTCTGAGATGCAGGTACATCCATTTGACGAGTCCCAAATAGGACGAAACGCGCGTCCTGGATTCTATTGTAGCCACTATTCATCTTTGCTTACATTGTATAATGTAGTTTAAAAATCCACATAGAATATTCAGTTGTTTATAATTGTAACGATATTTTAAAATGGCCAAACTAAACCACTCACTAATAAATTTTATAATGTTTTTTTTGTTAAAAATAAAGGTGAACTATTGTATTTGTTAGAATATCAATACTTCAAAATTGTTTTATTTATAAATTAGGATGGTCATTTAATACGGGGTAAAGATGTTTCGTAGTATAGTGCCAAATTGTAATCAATTTAGTAATGATATAATAAATAAAAAAACAAACTTGTATGAATAAAATGGATAATAGGAAAATTTCACCTTATTAATGTAGTATTAAAAGCTTTATTTGTAGATGTGAAGGCGCGGATTAGCAAAGCAAGAATAGCATATCTACAATTGAAGAACATCTAGAACTCAAAAAAAACTCACAATTGATTGATCACTGGGTGGTGATCAATCTCATGCATGTCAGGTTCTTCTTAGTGCTGATCGAATGCTATCGATCGAGTTGCAATGTAGCCACCAGTCTAGGTGGCTCGACACTGCTTGCACTATGTATACTGAGGTAACATGGTGGTTGGAGATGGTCAACAGGAAACCCTGGACCCGGGTTTCGTGCTACTTGGCACTCGTCAGCAAGGTGTACCTGACATGCATGAGATTGATCACCACCCAGTGATCAATCAATTGTGATTACTTCACAGTCCTACAGGAGGTTGGTCGCGGCCCGAACAGCTCAGTGGTAACGTCTCTGACTGTGAAGCTGAGTGACACGGGAACGAATCCGTTAGGGAGTACCAGTTCCTTCAAGATTACAGGTACACCTTGCTGACGAGTGCCAAGTAGCACGAAACCCGGGTCCAGGGTTTCTTATTGACCACCTCCAACCACCATCTTACTCAAAAAAACTGTCTGTCAGTCAATACAAAAGTCAGACTTTTCAAATACAAATGTCAAGGCAGTTCTAAAGTATGGGGTGGAAACCTGGAGAACTACTAAAGCTATCATGTAGAAAGTACAAGTGTTTATTAACAATTGTCTACGCAAGATAGATGGGATCCGTTGGTTAGACACTATCAGCAAACATTGTACTATGGGAGAGAACAAACCAGATTCCATCCAGTGGAGGAAGAAATCAGGAAGAAGAGCTGGAAGTGGATAGGACACACGTTGAGGAAATCACCCAACTGAGTCACAAGGCGAGCCCTCACATGGAATCCTGAAGGTCAAAGGAGAAGAGCACGACCAAAGAACACATTACGCTAAGAAATGGGATTAGGTATGGGAAGAATGAACATCAATTGGATAGAAATAGAAAGGAAGGCGCATGACAGAATTAGTGTGTTGGATAATGCTGCTTGGTGGTCTATACTCGATTGGGAGTAACAGGCGTAAGTAAGTAAGTAAGTAAGTAAGTAAGTAAGTAAGTAAGTAAGTAAGTAAGTAAGTAAGTAAGTAAGTAAGTAAGTAAGTAAGTAAGTAAGTAAGTAAGTAAGTAAGTAAGTAAGTAAGTAAGTAAGTAAATCAAATATATCTTTCCTGCCTCTTCTCGTCTGACTTCTGATTTCTATCTGACTGGGAACAATCGAATTTAGAAGGTGCTACTGGTATCTAGTTGTAAAACGAGAATATCCGTTGCATCATCATTGGTGAACCCGACGTGATCTGGTACACCAAGTCAATATACTGTGAGTCTGTTCCATTTTGGAATATTATTATTTATTGTTATTCTTTCTTGAATTTTATATATTGTGATATACTTTTTTTAGCGAATTTTTTTTCTCGGATATATTTTACTTAGACATTTTTCGATATCTATATTACTATGACGGAACACTCTCCTAAGGTCATTAAGTTTAAGTCTATTCCCCCTATTTCGATTCAGTTAACGCCATTTTGGCCCGACAATATCGAGTCCTGGTTCTGCTATGCAGAAGCCGATTTTAGCATGCACGGAATCACGGACTCGCGCACACGTTTCCTCGCGGTAGTTAAGGCGTTACCGCGCGAGTTTAACAGGTACGTAACACCTAGTATGTTTACTAGTGATGTTTCCAAACCTTACGAATCGCTTAAGCTATCGATTTTAAAACGAGGAGACCTAACTGATCGACAACGGTTAGACCAACTCCTTAACAATATCGACTTGCAACTTGGTTCTGCGACGGACATGTTGCTTAGAATGAGAGAAGTCATCAGCCAACGAACTTTCGATGATGGCCTATTTAGACAACTTTTCTTGTCTAAACTCCCTCAACAGGTGCAGGCAGTGCTTGTTTCATTTCAAAACAATGCCATAGATGAACTAGCTGCATCTGCCGATCGAATCTTGGAAATCACTAGATCTTCTAAGGCCGAGGTTTTTTCCGTCAAAGAAAAACCCCAATCGACCTCGACTGACATGGCCGAACTATGTCACAC